CTCATTTCGCAGCAGTTTTGAGCATCCTACCCGGCCCAGCAAGGACGTGGCCTACGTGGCCCAGCCCATGAATTGAGACACAGCCCACAGCAGTTAGCAGGCTAAGCTACAAACACACAGCAGTTAGCAGGCTAAGCTACAAACACACAGCAGTTAGCAGGCAAAGCTACAAACACACAGCAGTTAGCAGGCAAAGCTACAAATACACAGCGGTTAGTAGGCTAAGCTACAAACAATCTGCTGCACGTGTTCGTCTTAAGAAGCTAAACTCATTTCGCTAAAATCTGTAACATCGTGACTGAACAGAAAACAAACAAACCTGATCTGCTCAGCTGATCTCTGCGGTTGGAAACAGCCTCGTCTTCTTGGGTTTTTGTTTTTCTGTTTCTCATTTCTCCAACAGAACCTGGGGACAGTTGGCTGCAGAAACCATCTGATGGGACACAGACCGAGCCTCACAGACACCGCTGCTGAAGCACAGATATTTGCTTCTTCTTTGTAAACGACGCGTTCATTCGGCAGCCGCCATCTTGAAACCAGATGCCAGTCACTGTACGTCAGACCGAAGCATCTAGCCAATGGAGAAGAACCTGGCTGCGGAAGAGGGCGGGGTCAGATCTGTGTCAGACCCATATTTGGAGATGGCACCTCCACTGGGCTCTGAATGAACACTAAATGCCTTTAAGAAGAGGTTTACTTTTTGGTCATGTTTTTTTTTAAGCAGATATTGAAAAACAATGTGGTGGTATCTGAGAACAGTCCTGATCACATAATCCATCCAAATCAAAACTTCAAGATGGCTGCCATAGCTAAACAGAAGAATTTAACATAACTCTGACATTTTGTATGGTTTTCAATGATGACAGTGATCTTTCAACATATAAACTCAAATCCTAATGACAAGACTTTTCATAGTTTCTTCAAGAACTATTGTAATTGTTTTTTAACTCTTGTGAGAATGCAGTGAGGCGAGACTGCTAAAATTTAGAGGCTGAGATGTTAGGCTAAAAACAGCAGAATAACCAAGAAACATCAGCTAAAGCTAAAGACAGCAAAATGGTAAATGAAAGCTCAGTGTATTATACGGCTAGCTTAAATATAAAATCAGCAATGGTATAAGTAAAAACAAGCAGAATGCTAGCTGAAAACTAAAATTAGCACAACAAATTCACAGAACAATGTTTTAGATGGAATTTAAATGATCTCAATGCACTTCTATGGGAAAATAATTGCAAATAAAGAGTTAATCTTACATTTAAAAAAATATGAAAGTTAAAAAACCAGAAGTCACAACAGCCATGTCCAGAATGAGCTGAAAGTTTTGATTTATCAGTGTTAAAACAAGACGAATTAACCTGCAGAATTTTTTGGATGCAAAAAATGTGCTGTAAAAACAAAAACATGAAAACAGTATGAACGGTGCATCAGCGTTAACACCACAATAAAAACATCTGTTCTTACCTGGAGCTTTTAGTTTAACAGCAATTATAATTTGTGTTGAGTGTTTGTTTAAAATAGCAACAAAAACAAACTGTAGAGTTTTGGGTTTTGGTTTTATTGAAAATAAAAAACCTAAAATATTTCATTATTGTGAGGTAAAACACAACAGAGCCTGTAAACATGTCATTCAAGAAAAACTGAAAACTTAAGATTTTTACAGTAAAGTCCGGTTCTGCAGCACAACTGATCACTGGAAAAACAAAACTAAATGAGAGGCATGAATCAATTCAAGGTTTTGGCAGAAAACAACTTTTCTCAAACTTTTAAAATAAATTCACCTCTTAGATGAAATACATCTGAATAAATCTGGAGGATTTTATTAGTTTCATCAGCCTCCAACAGCAGTGAGCTGTACATCTGAGTTCTCTGCTGCTTCAAAACAAAATTAAATCAACAGGTTTTTAAGAACCTTGTCAAATAGAATTTTCCAGCTACAAATTTCTGCTTAAAATAAGAACTTGGTTGTTTTTGTCCATTTCTGGTCACCAGAAATCTACAAATGACTTCGTCCAGCTCATCAAACAGAGGACTTTGTTCTAAGAAAACTAAACGTTGGCCCACAAACCTGACAAGCAGGCGGTTTCTCTCCTGTGTAGATTCTCATGTGCATTTAAATGGTTGTTAGTTCTAAATCTTGGTCCACAAATCTCACATTCAAACTCTTTTTGTCCCATGTGGATTCTTACGTGTTTGTTTAAGCTCGTCTTATGTCTAAACGTTTGTCCGCAATCCTCACAAACGAACGGTTTCTGTCTTGTGTGGCTTATCTTGTGTCTGGTTATTTCTATCTTCTGCCTAAACCCTCGTCCACAAACCTCACAAACAAAAGGTTTCTCCCCTGTGTGGATTTTAGTGTGTCTGTTTAGATTTGTCTTCTGGTTGAACCTTTGTTCACAAAAAGCACAAGCAAAAGGTTTCTCTCCTGTGTGGATTTTCATGTGTGCCCCTAAACTTGATTTATGTCTAAAGTTTTGTCCACAAACTTCACATTCGAACTCTTTCTGACCCGTGTGGATTTTTATGTGTCGTTTTAAATTCGTCTTCTGGTTGAACCTTTGTTCACAAAAAGCACAAGCAAATGGTTTCTCTCCTGTGTGGACTCTCAAGTGTCTGTGTAAATTTTTTTTATTGATGAATGTCTGCCCACAAACATCACATTCAAATTCTTGCTCTCCTGTGTGAACTCTCATGTGTGCATTTAAATTTGTCTTATGGCTAAATGTTCGTTCACAAAACTCACAACCAAACAGTTTCTCTCCTGTGTGAACTCTTATATGTTTGATTAGTTTAACTTTGCTGGTAAACATTTCATCACATTCATCACAGCTGAATGGTTTTAATCCTCTTTCTTCTTTTCTCTGTGACTCTACACGTCTCTTCTCTTCATGACCCAAACAGCTTCCTGCTGAGTGACAGCTCATGTGTCGCTGGAGAGAGCAGTTGTGGACAAATCGTTTCCCACACTCAGAGCAGCTGAAAGGTTTGTTGACAGAGTTTCCACCTGACTCAGGAGCTCTGCTCTCCTTCCAGTCTTTGTTTCTGTCTTCAGTTGTAGACCCAGAGTCTGATAAGACTGACATATGATTGTCTCCATCCTCATCCTCTTCTTCATCCTCACTGACTTCATTCACTGAGGAGCTGGAAGTGTCTCCATGAGGGTTTAGACCTGAGTTCCTGCAGGTTTCTGCTCCTCCATCAGCTTCTCCAGTCATTAGGTCAGCTGAGCTGCTGGTTGGAACGTCTCTGTTTTCCACTTGGTGCTGATGAAGCTGTGAGGACAGWGSCTCCTCCTCATCATCCTCRCTCTTCAGAGGAAACACCACGATCACGTTGAGCTGCTCTTCCTCCACACTGTCCCAGAGCTCCTCCTCTTCCTCCTTTATGTGGAGGGGCTCTGGGTCCTGCTGGTCCACACCAGGACTCTGGTCTTCAGGAGCTTCCTCTTTAATCTGCACTGTGTGCTGAACATCTGCAGGGAACAGAGGAACACAAACATTATGGACAATAAAAGCTTTATATTCACACAAACATCACTCCTGTTGCTGCTGAGTTCACTGAAAACAGCCTGAAAATAAACCTTTAAAGTGATACATGATTAGTTGTAACATTAGATTTTTTTTGATAAACATTTATTTTACAGTTAAAATATACGTTTATCAAATAAAGTCTAATGTTACAACTAATCGTGGATTACTTTAAAGACATTTTTATGTCTGATTGCCACAATAAAACACACCACATTTAGCATGCTAAGCTACAAACCAACTACAGTCAGCATACTAACAAACCACTGTTAGCACACTAAACTACAAACCACTGTTAGCATACTAAACTACAAACCACTGTTAGCATACTAAACTACAAACCACTGTTAGCATACTAAACTACAAACCACTGTCAGCACACTAAACTACAAACCACTGTCAGCACACTAAACTACAAACCACAGTCAGCATACTAAACTACAAACCACTGTTAGCATACTAAACTACAGACCACTGTTAGCATACTAAACTACAGACCACTGTTAGCATACTAAACTACAGACCACTGTTAGCATACTAAACTACAGACCACTGTTAGCATACTAACATACAAACCACTGTTAGCACAATAAACTACAAACCACTGTTAGCATACTAACCTACAAACCACTGTTAGCACAATAAACTACAAAGCACTGTTAGCATACTAAACTACAAACCACTGTTAGCATACCTAACTACAAACCACTGTTAGCACAATAAACTACAAACCACTGTTAGCATACTAAACTGCAAACCACTGTTAGCATACTAAACTACAGACCACTGTTAGCATACTAAACTACAGACCACTGTTAGCATACTAAACTACAAACCACTGTTAGCATACCTAACTACAAACCACTGTTAGCATACAAACCACTGTTAGCATACCTAACTACAGACCACAGTCAACATGCTAAGCTACAAACTACACCATAGTTAGCAGCACGCCAAGGTAAAAACAAACAGTTAGTTTGCTAAACTATAAGCAAGCTACAGCTGGCACGCTACGCTTCTAACAAACTAGTTAGCAAGCTTCGCTACAAACAAACCACGGTTAGCATGCTAAACTATATACAAATTACAGTTAGCACGCTAAGCAACAAACAAACTACAGTGAGCTAGCTCAGCTACAAACCACGGTTAGCATGATAAGCTACAAACAGACCACAGCTGTCGAGCTGCAAGTAACAAAGGACAATTATTGCAGCAAACTAAAAGAAACCCAGCTACACTTCTTCATGTTCAGAAGCTAAAACCATTAGCTAACATCCCTAACCACGGCACACTTGACCTGATCTGTTCAGCTGATCGCTGCGGTTGGAATCAGTCTCCCGGATTTTAATGTTTCTGTTGCTCATTTCTCCAACAGAACCCGCTGACGGTCAGCTGTGTGCGCCTCACGAACAGACTCTTTGTAACCGAAGCTTTTGAACAAGTCCGAACCGGAAGAACCATAGATAATCTCTGTCTTTATGCCTCTTCTGAACGGTGCTGTTATGCAGCTGCCGCCATCTTGTGTCGTGTGCCGTAGCTCTGCCAAGTACACTTCGCTGCAGCATGCAGCTCGGGGCGGTGACAGACCTTTCCGTCAGTCCCATACCTTATATGGAAATGGGACTATTGCATTCCGGAAATGAAGGGGGCGCTAGTGACACTATTTTCTAT